AGCCGAGTTGAATCCGTCGATTGACCTCTCGGTCAAAGTTGGACTTACCTAGTCGGACTATTTGTCCCAGGTAAACATACTCGTCAACAACTTCGAGCTTAGTGCTCCCAACAACTACCGGCATAGGTGTAACATGGACATTAAACATGATCTTTGTTTTGTCCATGTTCATCCTAAGACCTACCCGTTGTTACAAAGTGGCAGATTGTACTCTTCGGTCTTCTGTACAATTTGCCGAAGGGTATGTATGTGGTCTATAATACTAAAGCCTTTTCGGAAACCGGCTTGTTCGGGAGGCTGGAAGTCGTCTAGTCTGCATTCACGATTCGTAATGACTCTCGAAAACAGCACGTAGACGCGGCTCAGAAGGGAAATCGGTCTGTATTTCTTCAATAGAGCATTGTCGCCTTTCTTGAAAAACAAAACCACCGCACTTCTGTTCCACACCTTCGGAGTAGTACCGCCACGGAGGACGGAATTAAAGAGCTTCTAAAGGACTTCGAGTACTGGTTTTCCATTAAACTGTAAATTCGAATTAAAGTGGCTAGGTGGAGACAAGCACAGTGGCAAAATAGTAGGTGTAAGTAGATAAGTTAGGTATTTAGACTAGTGTTGTAAATTATTAGGTATTGTGGTATGGCCCACTAAATGCGGGCCGCGCGAATTCGGCGTTCGCGCGTATATTGACCCCTAGTCAGCTGATTGTAATTCAGTAATTCCACTGCTGGTTTTATGTTTAAATAGATTCATGACTTTTTTTTTAATGAAATTGTCGTTTCATTTAGCTGTAATAACATGATGGGGAATGAATAAAGCTAATAAAACGTTGTGAAAAGATGATTTTTTTTTCATCAGGATCGATATTTTATCTCACACATCATCAAAGGTATAGTTAGTCCTGTCGTCTGTCTTCGTTTTCGGGAGCGTTTCACAAACACCCCGGTATTATTTCTATTTATTATAGTAAATTTTATTTTAGTATTGTATAACTCTCGGCGCCGGGCGGTCGAAGAACATTGGAAACCAAAATTAATTTTACTTTTATTATCAACCTGAGTACTGCGCCTACGTCGGGATATGTTCATCGACCAACCAGTCGCAATCTAGCCGTCTGACGCGAATCCCGTGCTGCTTGCGCCTACGCCGACCTTTAGACTTGCATATAACAAATATTATTTTAGTGTTCATTTACTACTGTATGCTAGTGACTTTAGACTGTACTTGCTGCTTTCATCTCCTATCTATTTGTAACTGTATTTATCGCCTTCTGCTTATTTATGTGAGACTGTTCTTTATGTGTTGTGCTGTAAAATATATAACTGTCTGACCGTGACTTGTTGCTTATTCCGGCGACGGACTTACCATCGGGTACCATACCACCACGACCTTACACTCCATAACTGGTGACCCCGAGCAGAATACTTAAGAAAGATGAGCAGTGATGGTAGTGACACAACGCATTCGCAAAGAAGGGCGCGGTCGACGAAAAAGCGTGAGCACGTGTCCATTGACTCTCACGATAATGCATCTGATATATTTCGTGTCGGCGTGAGAATACCACCGTATTGGCCTGGAAAACCGACGATATGGTTTTCGCAAATTGAAGGTCAGTTTCGCATATCGAGAATCACAGATGACTTGACGAAGTTCCACGACGTCCTCTCGAATTTGGACCGGCAGTATGCAGTAGAGTTAGAAGATATTATTACTTCGGCTCCAGCCACAGGGAAGTACGAGAAACTTAAAAGTGAGCTAATCAAGCGTCTATTTCGAAAGAGAAAAAAGTGAAACAGCTCCTACAGCCTGAAGAGTTAGATGATCGCAAGCCATCAGAGTTCCTGCGTCACCTGCAACACCTGGCTGGCCCTACGATACCAAACGATTTTTTGAGGTCATTTTAGACGAGCCGCCTTCCAAGCAATCTGCAGACCATCATCACATCTCAGATGAGCCTGTCCCTTGGCGAACTCGCTGACCTGGCAGACAGGGTCCATGACATCTCACCGGCATCGCCGCTGCTTGCAGCAACATCCAGCTCCAGACATTATGGCACGCAAATTACGGAACTGACGAAACAGTTTAGTGCATTCACTACGAGACTTAACAACCGCATTCGCCTCCGCCAACAACAGACGTCACGTGGGCGAAGCCGTACGCCATCGAGAAGGTCCCAGTCTAATTATAGATAGTTTCCTAACTGCGGGTACCATCACAAATATGGCAGCAAAGCGAAGAGGTGCATCCAGGCATGTGACTACAGATCGGGAAATGCGACAGGCAATCTATAATGGCGACTGAAGATTGTCTGTCCCCTACTACTGGTCGCCTTTTTGTGACAGATCGCAGATTGCGAGTTCCTGGTGGACACCGGAAGCAACTTATGCGTCTTCCCTCGATCTGCGCTTCATCACCGATGATGCCGCTGATGTCGCTAAAGCGTATTATAATTGAAATTCGTTGAAATGTGACAAAAAATCTACGCCTATTATAGGCGTAGATTTTTGTCACATTTCTACACTCACCATTCGAAACACAACAGCATTAAGTTGCTATTTTACGCTGGTATTTTGTGAGAGCGTGGTCCTTCCCCGGTCGAGCCGACCCATTCGTACTACAACTATACTATTAATATAGCTGAAGCATGGCTCTACCATGTAAAAAAAGAGGACAATGGTTGGCGACCATGCGGTGACTATACGCATGCTCAACGCGCGGACAGTGCCAGATAACTACCCTATCCGACACACACATGACTTTGTCTACAATTTATCTGGTTGCAAAATTTTTTCAACCATGGGTCTAGTGAAGGCGTGTAACTACATACCAATCTTTGAGGCGGACATTCCCAAATCTGCCATTACAACAACTTTTGAACTATTCGAGTTTCCATATATTATGACGTTCGGATTGCGCGGAGCTAGTCAGACGTTTTAGAGGTTCGTTGACGAGATGACCCGTGGTCTAGATTTTTGGTACCCATACCTTTACGATTTCCTCATATTTTCACGCGATGATTTAGATCATGAAGAGCACCTTAGTCAAAGTCAAATATTTACGAGGATGAAGGATTATGACATGCTCATCAACACCGCTAAATGCGTTTTCGGTGCGTCAGAGGTAACATTTCTAGGCTATCACATCTCACAACATGGAACGAAACCTCTAGAAGGTAAAGTTCAGGCTATAAAGGAGTACCCTCTCCCTAAAACAGCCAAACAGCTTAGGAGGTTCTTGGGCATGATAACTTTTGTAGGAGGTTTATCCCCTAAGCTGCTAAAACCAAAGCCCCATTAAACGCCTTACTGACTGGCGCCGTTAAAGCATCGCATCCGGTCAATTTAATTGGAGACTCGTTGAATACCTTCGAAGAGTGTAAGGAAAGTTTATTCAATGCAGCATTATTGGCACACCCTGACTAAAAGGCAAAGCTAGAACTTGTTACCTGAAGCTTCTGATCTTGCAATCACTGGAGTCTTGCAACGGAAAATAGGTGGTGATTGGCAACCCCTAGCCTTTTTCTCTCGTAAATTGAGCCCGTCGCAAAGGAAATACTCAGCATACGATAGGGAGCTCCTTGCTGTTTACTAGAGCATCAAGTACTTTAGACATTAGCTAGAGGCAACACCACACAAGATAGTTTGAGAGACGCGCTACAACCGGCATATACTGGCCCTCACGGGGTGGTTGAGAGAAATGAAAAAAAACTTTTAAAATCAGAGTAAAGGAGAAAGTCGTGACAGTATCGGTAGACCGACTGATACCAGCCTACATACTGTCCCACTCCAACTCCTTCTCCACCACTTAAACCAACTCCTAATCCCACACCTACTCCACTTCCAAATAGCAGCCCATTGCCGACAACTGCGTGCAAAACAACTCGTTCTGGGCGCCGAGTACATTTGCCAGACTATTATCGCCCGTAGACACGGTCTTGGAGGGGAGTGATGTGGCGACTCACATAATTATTTATTTTATTTAAAGAAATAATTAGGTATTTCACAGATTGTAATACAATTTAATATTAATATTATTATATTTATATATCTACAATATAATTACAGTCATACACATATATATTATACTATTTCTATTTATTACAGCAAATTTTATTTTAGTATTGTATTATAATATAATTCTCGGCGCCGGTAAGTACTTTGGCAACCAACATTCATTTTACTTTTATTATCAACGCCGTTTACCTGTCTACCGCGCCTACGTCGCGATATGTTCATCGACCAACCAGACGCAATCTAGCCGTCTGACGCGAATTCCGTGCCGCTTGCGCATACGCCGACCTTTAGCCTTGGATATAACAAATATTAGTGTTCATTTCCTGTTGTATGCTAGTGACATTAGACTGTACTTTCTGCTTTCATCTCCTATCTATTTGTAACTGTATTTATCGCCTTCTGCTTCTTTATGTGAGACTGTTCTTTAAGTGTTGTGCTGTGAAATATATAACTGTCTGACCGTGACTTGTTGCTTATTCCGGCGACGGACTTACCATCAGGTACCATACCACCACAACCTAACACTCCATACATGCATTGTACAATGTTCCTAATTGGTCCTGCAGGCGGAAGATATGCGCAATGAATTAAATAAAAAAGAGCAGATATACACTTTTATTTCATTCACACGTTTAATATGGATCCAATATTTTAATATAGTACCTAATACGTTTCACGAGGACCACTTCTGCTTCCACATTTTGTTGAACGTAATGAGATTTCGCCTAATACGTTTTTACACTCGTTCGACGAGTTGGTAGATATTCACGAGGATCGCTTGTCATTCTTCACATTTTGTTGAACGTACTGAGATTTTGCTTGTTGTTTCCTTAACCCTAATCCTAGGGACCGAAGACATGTGCCATGAATTTGAAATGGTATTTAAGCGTTTTCACACTATAAAACGAGCTAGGCGAACCGCTTCTTCTTCTTCCGAGTCCGCGCGGGCCGGATGGTGAAGGCGCACGATTGGACTAACGCCACCAGCCCCTAGTCCTGCAGGCCGAAGAGCGGCGGCAACAGGCAGCCCCACTGTGAGGGGGAGGGAGAGGAATAGCGTCGCGGGCGGGGAAGCGGCCCACGCTCATACCAGTACACATAGGGCAGCCGCAGTATCCAGTAGGCGGACGCGCTCAGTTTCAGCGGTGGCTCGCCCACGGGACGTGGGATGAAGATTGGTCCGCCCTTAATCGGTTGCACCTGGATATGGAATTAATTTTGTTCAAAAATAAGTGACACAAATCTTTTTTTAAACAGAAGTAACGGTCACAAACAAGCACACAGTCCATCTGGTATAACACCCTCGGTTAAGAATCCAAATGCAGATACATTGTCACTCCTACATTAGAAACGCAGGAGCAATGTGCTGTTAATTCGCGCCAGTACTCTGCGCGAGTGTGGTGTTTTCCTGGTCGAGCCGACTCACTCGTGTTGCAGCTGTACTCAGTGTTACGTACACGATTCTAAATATCAGTAATTCCCTCATGGGGCTAAAATGCATATTGCATACGCATTTACAACTAAGTCCCATATAATATGCAGGTCCATTATATGACAAAAGCTGAAGAGATTAATAAAATATTAAAGAATACAACCCAGACTACAACTGAGCCACACCTGCGCCACCTGTTTTACGACGTGTTCGGCAGTGAAGAAAAATACCGTGAAAAAAGTGCGTTTGAGAAATTAGAAGAAAAATATTATGAACACGTGAATTCTGCCAACACGCATTGAGGCAACATGGCAGACACTTCTTTGCCCTAAAAAGCCGCTCAAAACGTTAAAAATCGTGTACGTAGTACATATAACTCAATGTTACAAACAGACACTTCAATTTTATTTATTTGTATAGATTTGTCTAAAAACTGTAACTGTCGTAAATGAAAATACAATTGCGTGAAAAATTTGCTGTGGCAGTTACCCAAACGCGCCCGCGTTCTGAGTTCCCGTCTACTACTAGTAGTATGCATAGATGTGTTTGTCTGTAACAGTTTGTGTAAGGCGCGGTTTAGACAGAGGAGACGTGGCCAGGGCGTGTGGCGGTGACGGATAATCAAAGAAACATAAAATAGACCCAATAGTTATGTTACATAGTGTCGTGTTTGTCGGAAGAAGTTCGCACGCGCATCCAGGTGACGTCACCGCCACTAGGTAGCGCGTCACCTTACGTGCCCTTACGTGTCGCGCGTCCCATGTTTAGTCGTATTACTATTATAGATTAGGTCTATTTTATGTTTTTTTGGTTATCCGCCATCGCAACACGCCCTTGCCATGTCTCTTCTGTATAAAGGCGGCTTTTTATGTTGGCCAACGTAGAGGCGAATGTGTTGGCATAGATATTAGCCAAGTTTGTGATGGCGTCCATACGTTGGAAGACCGTTCAGTTTGCTTCGGTTCAGGCCTAGGGATATTGAGACGCTAACGGCTGCTGTGGTTTATTTATTCACAGCATATCGTTATTACGTGAATGTGTATAAGAAAAGGGTGATCAAAAAAAAAATGGAAAAAAAGATTTTCGGCTTGGTAGAGCTCTATAAAGCGAAGTTTCTTTATTGGTCATTGTTACTGCTCTTTTGTAGACAATAGACACGATGTGTGAATATAAAATTTAAATCTTTGACGGCTCCGTGGCGCAGTGGCTTAGCAATGAGTTGCTGCGCTGGGGGGGCGCGGGTTCGAATCCCGCACGGAACAATTATTTGTATGGCCTATAAAACGATTATTCCGGGTCTGGATGTTTGTCCTTGTGAAATTTGTGTTTGTAAACTGCCTCCACGATACAGGAGAAAATCCTAGTGTGGGGGTAACGTTTTTTAAAACATTAAAAAAAATCAGGTGTGTGCGATCACTCTGGGAGCTCGTAGCAATCTAAACGTACACCCAACGTGTGGATACGGTGACCAATACTCTGCCACAACCCTTTGACCTTTTGTAAAAAACCGACACCACACGGGTCTCGCGCCAACTTGTGGGCTCCCATTCCAATACATACCAACGTAAGCAGAAACACCCGCTCTACACGATAGCCATTATTGATAGTAACTAACGTGAAGAGTCGTCATAAACCGCACCCCTAAAGGGGGCCAACATACTGGCGAATGTGTTGGCACATTCACGTTGTAGCGGTATGCTGTGAATAAATAAACCGCAGCAGCTGTTAGCACCTCAATAGTCGTTTAATTAAATTCGTTTGTACATTGGCCTGAACCGAAGCAAACTGAACGACTTTCCAACGTGTGAATGCGATCACAAATTCTTGGCCAATATTTTTGTCAACACATTCACCAGTACGTTGGCCAACGTGAAGAGCCGCCATAAGAGTGGTATGTGCGCGTCGAGCGCACTGACCTTGGGGTCAAGCGTGACGTGCACGGGCGCCTTGGGCGTGACGACGTGCACGCGCGCGAGGTGTGCCATGTGGGTGAGCGTGTGGGGCTGGTGCGCGTGGTGGGGGTGGTGCGAGTGGTGCAGGGCGCGCGGCGCGGCGCGGCACAGGCAGGCGGCGCGCACCGGCAGCGCCGCGCCCGCCAGCCGCGCGCCCGCCGCCGCCTCGCGCGCCCACCCGCCGCCCCCGCCCCCGCCGCCCCCGCCCCCGCCGCCACCGCCCGCAGCGGTACCCGCACCTGCGCACACCATTACACTACATTACACTCTGTGACGTGACGTCACAATTCGACAGAGCGAACGCGCACTAGGTACTTGCTAAATTCATTTGCTTCATGGTTCAGTACTAACCGCGCGCTCGGATGTATACGGTCGTTTACCTACACATTATATCGAATGTCAGAGTTAACGTCCGGTTGACGGTATTACATAATAATATAATAAACCCAACAACTAATAATTTTGAACTAATAATTTATGAATAATCTAATGTAATATGAATAATCTAACCCAATATAAATCAATATTATTTAAGATGAATAATTTAATGTAATCTATTCTTATAAATAATATTATCAATGAACTATTAATAATATTTAACATATGTGTGCCCGTTAGGCTGATCACAGCACAGACTAAATGTTCGCGCCAAACGCTAATTTTAAGAATTGACGCCAGAGGGCGCTCGGCGCAGTCCATTCGTACCGGTTTGACGTTCGCGCGAGCAGAGTTGGTTTGGGTGTGGCGCGTCGGAAGTTAACAATGCAGCGCTGTCACTAGAACGGCGTGGTCGCGTATCGTATAACCTCTAAATAGTGTCGGTTTTTGTTAGCAAATTTATGCAACGACGAGGAGTTTTGTTGAGTCTAGAAAAATAGATTGTTTTGCGCGGACGCCGGTTCTTCGATAGACTTTAACAGTGGTAGAGCCAGGCGGCAGCTTTTGTTGTCGCATGGATGGGCCGGCTCGAACCGGGGTGGTACCACGACCTCACAGAATACCAGCGTGAAGTAGAGGTTTACCTTTGCGTTTCGCTTGGTGAGTGCAGGTGGGCGGAGGCCCTTTTTACTGGAAATGAGGCATTCCATCTTGGTCCTCACGGGTGAAAACGCATCTGCATTTTGATCTGTAACAGAGGATAGGTGTAGATGTCTATGGGCCGCAGCAACCACTTACCATCAGGTGGACTGTGTGCTCGTTTTTCACCCTTATCCTATAAAAAAAAAGACTCGTGAGGTCGCTTTAAGATCGCTTCTATTTTGAGTTATCATTTTAGTGAATTTACGCGATAACGAGGCCGTCTAAGTGTTGAGTGATTAAATTAACTTACCTTTGTTTGCAAGTAATTTACGTCAATTTGTATAGTGATTGCATTTGAAGCGCATTTGCAATATTTAATTTGCTTGAGTGGCCTGTTAATATCGTACGAAAGAATCTTAGTTTGTTGTGGGGAACGCGGAACTTTGTGACCCGAGAGAAGGTCGCGTTCGGTTTCTAGAAATAATTTGTTGCTAAGTGAAAACGGAAGTTGAACTTTGATCCACCGTTCATTAGTTTTGCCGTGTGTCACGTGTTTGATTACGATTAACGGGGATTTAGTTGAGTTTGAAGTGAATTAAATGTACAATAAAGTTGATAGACTGAAATAGTGTACAATAAGGTTGATAAACTGAAATAGTGAAATGAAGTCAGCAGTTTTCCATTGGTGACGTCCGCTGAAGTGATACCACATCGTGGGGCAGCATCGGACCAGGCCGCTGCCCGATCACCTCGGTTAAGTCAGGTCACACACATACTCACCTACTACACACTACTTACATGCACCTCACTTATCAACTGACTGGTACCCTGTGGTCAACCCTCCTGAAATAGGTAAGTGCTTGCTCTTATTTGTCTGCCGTTTTTTGAACATTTATACATAAGCCGTTGAGCCCCGTCCTCTGTTGCCCGTCGATGGGATTACTCATGGACCCTAGTCCAGTCAACCTTTGTCGGGGCAACTCAGGGCGTGAACACTTGAAATTTATTTGTATTTAAATATCTTTTAACCTGTATATCACAAATAAACTATTTGTTTTGATTTATAAACTAACGTATTAAACATTTAGCTTTTATCTTTATATATAAAAATTACGTGTCACGTTGTATGTCCACGATGAACTCCTAAACTACTGAACTGATTTCAATGAAATTATGCACACTGTGTGCAGTTTGATCCAACTAGAGAAATAGGATAGTTTTTATCCCGATAAGTGACCCTCAATTTTTTTTATTGCTAATCTCAGGAGTTTTTTTTTTTAGGAAAGCAAATGGTCGTCGGAAAGGGCAGAACAACGTCTGCTTGGTCAGCTAGTATGATTATATTTATTTGTAGTCACGGTGTGTAGTGCTATAAAAAAAGAAAATGGAAGCGGGCTTCGAAAAAGGACAGTCAGATAATCTGCCAAAAGTGGATATTTTTATGGTAGCGCAGTATTTTTCAGAAAATAATGATTTTTTATCATCAGAAATGCGTAGAATAAAGCTCCAAAGATAAGTTACTAATAAAATATTACGAAAAGTATACAGCTTTACCATTGATTAGTAAGTAGGCAGTAATACATAGGTAGGTATTAACTGACCGAATCATGAAGTTGCACATGATTTACAACGACATAACATGAAAAAACTTACTTAAACTTACTAATGCAATGTGTATTAATCAACTCTTACTATTATTTAGTACCTAGTGACACGTGAAGAAATTTTGATCGTTTTCGTCAGTGGTTGCAAATATTTGGTCCTAGTTTTACTTTGACTTACTTTTGAATAAGCTGATTGCGGTATTATACGTTGGTAGTTTGTACCTATTGTGTTTTGAAAATGCAATAGTCGCAAATATTCAATGCGAGTAATACTAAACTGAATTGGATGAAAGGACATTGTTTTGCGTCCATACAATGTTCGCCTAAGCACCAACAGTGAAAAAAATACCGAAATTACACATAATTGTATGTAAGAACAATAACTCCCTGACAGACACTCCTGAAAACTTAGATAGCCAGTTGATCAACCGCGAGCGGACCGCTATATAATAGATATTCAAGTGTATTATGATTGATTTCGATCTGTAAACGTACAAAAATACCGCGTAATAAAACCACATGTGTAGTCAAGTAATTTAGAAGACGGAAAAACCTAGAAAGAAATAAACCAAAATAACTTCATCATATTAAAATAAAATTATTTTATTTTTAGAGCAATTTCATTAAAAATAATATTATGCAATTAGTAGCGAACCAGTTTTTACTACCACTTAGTCATGCCGATAACCGTTAAGCGACCACAGCTAATTGGCCTGTTGGCATGTGTTGTTCTGTCATTCGAATACCTACGTAAGATATACCGTCATTCAAGACCAAATTTTTGTTTAAAATTACGCTTCCATAGTTTTTAGTGTTCGTTGTTTCTAATCTAATTAATAAAAAAATATTACTAATATTACAGAAACAAATATTCTCTTCCTTTACATTTCCTAACAAATTAACTACCCCGCTATGAAATCGTGTCAAATATTTCACCTTACCAAGTCATGGATGCCCTGATGGATTACAATGAGTGCTAATAATTTTCCGCCCACCAGATGTCGCTAGTTGACACAGAGGTAAAGTTTTATGTTACACAATGTTGTTGATGAAGAAATTATTGAGAAGTTGTTTTTTACTAAAAGTTTATCAGTTTCTAGAGTATTATATTAATACACAAAACAATGCGTCAGTGGTTTGCTCTTTAATTTTTTGCACGTTTTTAACTTTTTTTTATATTTCTACTTTTATGAATATCTGTGATTTGTTTTCTTTTTAATGTTATTAATATAAAATATACCTAATAGTACAGAAAGAAACAATAATTTTCACATTTTCCGAACAAACTAACTTCCCCGCTATGAAATCTGTCAAATATTATACCTCACTTTCTAGTGGCGCCGCCCTGGTGGCAGTAAAATTCCTCCGTTTTCGCAAGTAACTCAGAAAACTGATGATAACAAAATCAGGGGATTTATCATCATTACATCCCTTCATAAGCCTCCCCCGAGGAATGCCACAAAGCACGGTCCTGAGCCTCCTGCTTCCATCGACTTCCTGCAAGTCTTACCAGGTCGTCACACATCTACTGGTTGGCCGCCCAACACTTCACATCACGGTACGAGGCTTCCAATCGAGAACCTTTTTTCCCCATCGGTTGTCGGTTCTTCGAGCTATAGGACCGGCCCATTGCCACTTCAGCTTACTAAGCCGTTGGGCTATGTCGGATGTCGGTTACTAAGGTTCTATTGCGGATATCCTCATTTTAAAGTTTATCACGCAGAGAAACCCCGAACATAACCATCCCCATAGCTCGCTGAGCGACGGAGCATACGGCCAGCAGTGAACATACATTAAATTTTCGTAAACATACTGAGAGGCCAAAGTTAATATATTTATTTCTTTAAATTTATCTCTAAGAGACTCTCGATTTTAGGTTGTAAATAGCTCTAATGGCCCTCTTCTGTAAAACAAAAATAGTTTCAGAATCAGCCGCATTTCCCCATAGCAAAATCCCATAAGACATTATACTATGGAAACAACTGAAATAAACTAATCTAGCTGTCTCGACACTAGTGAGACCTCTAATCTTTTTTACAGCATAGGCTGCAGAACTTAATCTGCTTGCTAGTTTGGACATATGGGGGCCCCACTGAAGCTTTGCGTCGAGAGTGATGCCAAGAAAAACAGTGGATTCAACAGGGCTCAGTTCTTTCCCATTTAAAAACACATTGGTACTCAGTTTTTTAACATTCGTTGTTGTAAATTTAATACATTTAGTTTTATTTCCGTTTAAATGTAGATTATTAACGTTAAACCAATGCACTAATTTTGATATAGCATTATTCACTTCGTCACATTTAAATGATTGACGTTTAAGTTTAAAAATCAAGGAAGTATCATCAGCAAATAATACTATATGATGATTATACCCTACAAGAGAATTTTAGTCATTAATATACACTAGAAATAGGAATGGGCCGAAAATGGACTGGACCCATTAGTACAGGTGACCCGGAAGAACTTTTACTATTGATAATAAATTTCTGCATTCTATTACTTAAATATGAAATAATGAGTTTAAGCGCTGTGTTCTTGACACCATAGTACTGTAGCTTCTTGATTAATGTCGGTGATATTTCTACAGTAGAAGGTGCTGGGAACTATCTGAGGCCCTATATAAGGCTGGTATAGACAGCGACCGAGGCAGTATTGAATTGGCAATATAAGCGAATACTTCGAAGCGATACAACTGCGAATTAAAGTGATTAGTAGTACATTGTTTTATTATTAGTGTGGTTTAAGTTGTAATTAGTGCTCTGTAATTAAAGTGTCAATTTTGGTAATTCAATCGGCAGTTTTTAATTGTCTCGAACCCCAAGCTCCTAACAATGCGATCTAAGCTGTCAATATATTTATCTACAATAACTGTTAGCTGTCTTGCAATACTAGATGTTACATTCATACCCGCAGTGCCCGCACCACCGCCGTTGTTCACTGCACCATCTGGAGACGACATCATGAACCTGAAAACAAAGTTAATTTAGCTAATGACATTAGAATATGCTAAATATAAAACAACAAGCAATAAGCAACTTTATATGTATCGTGATAAAGCGTTTTTCCAATTAAAAACAGTTTACTGCGTTTCGCATTAAGATGAACGTGGGAATAAACTAGATCGATCTAGATTTTTCTATCTACTCTCATAGTACCTCGGTAAAGTAGTAGACGTTAATTTAAAAAGTGACTCTGCGAGTGTTTAAGACTAAGGAATAAACCTAGAACCATCTAAAGTCATATGTTACAAATACTATTTGCAGCGTGTTCTAAAAATACAACCATTTCTCCTTCCTCTCTTGATGTCTTAGAAGTCTAGTCTGTCATATATTAGGAACTTGTAGGATCTTTCTTGCACTTCCTCAACACATACGGGTTGAGATCGTGATGGATATTCTTATACCGACTATTCACGACACGATTACATAGCATAAGTAAATACTACCATATAGTTTCTTTCACAAGGTGCGTTAATCAGTGCTCTGTAGCTAATTCTTTTTTTTTTACTGTAAACTGATAACGAACTTCGTCTTTACTAATCTTAGCAAAAAATCTCTATACATCTATGTAATACAATGATTAGTCCTGTGGATCGAAGGTGCTATGGTATCGTATCCGACTCGAAGGACCAAAAAATATTTAAATATTTATTTCAAAGAACAGAAAGGAAAAGGAGTAATTATATCATTATTATGTCATATCATTACATAGTAATAGTATAACTACTCAATAGGTCGTAAGACTGGTTTTTTCTTAGGAATCCGTCTGTTAGGAACCAACCTCTAACTATTATGCCATTCTATTTTTGATATAAAATCAAGATAATTTATAAAAAGCACATATATTATGTACATCAAAGTGATCTATAGGTACTCACTAAAAATTCTGATATTAAAATCACACTTAATGAAATATAAATTACAGATAGTATTTTCAATAAGGTTATGTTGTACATACGCTGACGGCGTAAGATAATCTATCTCCGAATTTCATTCCATGAGTGTCATATAATGCAATTATGGAAATGTGATATAACAGCTGTAACCACGGATCAAATACAAAGAGGAGGTGTTGTAATCAGATTTGTGTGTGTTACTATGTGACAACGCGTGACAATTTGCGGGGTGAGGGGGTGTTAAGCCCCACCCACTTAACTATTTTTCATGTACCGTTAAATAGTAAAACTACTCACATTGTTCCATATCGATGTTACAATGTACTTGAGCTACCTTGATGATAGATGGCGGCCTATTCACAAAATGATAATAAAAACTATAAAAATAATATTTTGGCGATTAAAAATTCTTTAGGACTGAATGCAAAACAAATTTCAGCACCTTCGTATGATTATTTTACCAATACTGAGCTCTGCGTACCTTTATAATTTTTAGTTCCTATAACACAAAATGTCGCCATCTAGTGTCGAATATATTTTATTATATTTGAAAGCCGATGCAGAGATTTTTCTAGAACTATTTTAATAAATTAGGTATAAAATTACTTACAAATGAAATATGATGCCATCAATAGCATCAGAGCGTCTATCTGAATAGTTTTTACACAATGAAATACAACACTTCAACCTTTTCTTCTTAATACTATTAAAATACACCGATTCGCGATTTTCGACACATAAGTGCACAAGACGAACGCTGACAGTATACTAACTAAAGCCACACCCACTGTGATGACGTCAGGACCTAGTTAGAATCACAGTGCACAGTTGCTTAGGCCGTCTCCTCTTTGTATTTGCTCCGTGGATATAACCATCTCGTTTACGTAAGACCTAAGATAACTTAGTACTTCGATTGCCAATAGTAGTGTAGTAATAGTAGTTCACTATTGCAGACTGATGATGAAGATATCTTCATCGATATAGCTGACAAAGAAGTCTAATAACAGAGACGTCATACCTATGTCCTCTTGGACACTCATACTCGAATCCAATAAAGATCTTGACAGTAAGGTGATGTTGTGGCGTTCCTTTGCCACGCCCACGGGATGCTCGCCACGCACTCGCTTGCTCATTTCTACAAATATATATAATGATTAGTCTATTTTATATTAGCATATACCCGCGACTTCGTTTTCGTCGCGTAAAAATTAAAAAATACCTGTTATAATTCTTTTTTTTTATAATATTGATAGTAGTGACAGAGGAAAAATAGAGATTTCTTTGGCATATAATCAAACTGATGTCGATACACAAATATGTGTACTTTTGTAGAGAACAGCTCACCTCACTGTGCAGTCCCAGGGGAGAAGATAATTCGTGTGCGGCAAGAAGCCGGGCTGCAAATGCTCGGGTAGACCCAAACTGTGGGAGTAGAGGGACGAAGGGCCGAGACACACTAGGGACCAGCTCGGGAACGCCGGCAACAGATTGGCTGGACTCGTCGTATGCAGCATTCCAGGTAAATACTCTGTTGTTGACGGCTGACGGCTTATTACTTTCTCTGTAAACATATAAACCATATAAAGCAAAGAGAAAAAACATAAGAACTAAGTAATCACTACTACACTACTATCTATTAAAAATTGACGTCTTCCATAGTTGACTATGTAACTAGGGTGTGTGTTCGTTTGTTACACTTACTTCTATCATGTATAATATTACCTGAGCTAATGAGCGTTGCTCCGCTTTAGTAAAAATATATAGTTTTTTTTTTAAATGATTCCTAAACAATACCTAAATAGACAATTTCATTTATATTGTTAGAGAAAAATACATAAAATAAAATCTTAAACATTCTGTCCTTTTTACCTTTTAATTTACAATGTTACCACGCAATGTTTTACATTGTTCATGTTGTGCATTAATTTAACATCCTTCATAAATATCTAACGCCTACTATTTTGCTACGCACACAAATATTCGTAAGAGTAACTCGGTCGGCAAAAACGTTGGGAAATATTTATTAATCACATTCAATTTGGGATAATTTGAAATAAAAGTAGAAGCCTTATTCACTAGTCTTATTTTCAAAAACTGCAATAACGGTAAATCATTATATATCATATATTTGAACGTAAATATAAAAGAACATCGGCCAAATACGACCTGACGAAAATATGGAACGACCACCAATGATTGATACGTCAAAAAATAGTGACTTAGATGTATATTAAATTACGGGGTTCAACTTATTTTATTGAAGCCGGTAAAATAATTTAGCTTCTAACCTCATTTCCTTACTACTTTTTATAGATTTTGAACGCCTCTAAACCCGTCCCGTTTTTATCTATGGTACACGTTTCATCATAAAACTAAAGTAACACTACCATTATGCGTTTACTTTTTTTAATATTTTTAATATCATTTTTAGATGGGGATATGGAAAGTATTTCGAAATAAGTTGCAAATGATAGGTTGACAGTAAATATAGAATGCACTTATACTTAGAACGGAACGCATTATGATTGTCTCTATGCAGTCTGTGGTATTATGACACGAGAGCTGTCAAAGCGTGAGCAAACGTCAAAGCACCTGTGTCTTAGATACTTAGCAGTGAAAAGATAAGAAAGGTTATCGATTCATTTTTGTGGTTTTAGCCATTGACTTGATTTATTTAGTTAAGTATATATTACTGTATAGTTTTCATATCAATTGTTTTAGCTGACGTTGTAGTCATGGCTGCAGTCATGGCTACATCATAACCTCAAAAGTGGCTTTAAAATAATATATTTTCAATTTAGGATTTAGATTGTGCCTAGGGGGAACGGATTAATACATACACTAGTCATATTCGCGATGTTTTGTAGCCAGGTCACAGCATGTATGGGCCGTAACCGATTTTCTTTGGATAGTCTTTAAAAAATAACCCTGTATAATATTATATACTATATTTAAGTATACAATGACCCACCGGTGGCAGTGTCCTCCCTGAGCGGGACGAGCTCCAAGCCGTCCCGCTGGTCGCTGGTTGCGGTCGTATCGTGGTGGTCGTGATCGTCGTTTTCCCCTCGTACAGATCCCGGTGCGGATCCCGGAGCTGATCCCGGCGCGGATCCCGGTGCGGATCCCGGTGCGGAGCCCGGAGACAAGACGTGCGGCGACCAGGCCAAGCCCTCGCACTCAGCCGACGCACCAGATTCTATGGATCCGCCCTCCACCGCCGCTTCCACACCTTCCCCTGGTTCCTCGCACCGCGATCCTTTTACTGAAGCCGCCCTGTGTATTTACAATTGGGTAGTTGACACAACCATTAACAAACAACTACATTATATTATAATTTTGTACATTTTATTAATTTTACAATTTAAAAAAATATTCGATTTCAGAGTAGTATCAAATACCTATTTTTGTTATTACTTTTAGCGTCGCAAACGACCAAAATATCCACCAGTGGTACGTAGATTCTGCAACCCATGGATACCTGCAATCAACTTTAAAAAAGATAATAGTTGCATGGGACCCAGGGACTAAAATGAAATGGCTCACATCCTTTAACTATGCTTACTCTTTTACCCTTCGAGCTGGAACACGGGACTGCTGTTTATTTGTAATTTGGTAAGAGAATGTTACCAACCCCACAATTTCTTAGGTTTCAAGCAAGACGATAATTTACGAATATGGTCTAGTTTTAAACTGCGCACGCGTTATATTTTAATGCAACAACAGTACGTGCAAACACGAATGCAAAATTACAATATGCGTCTCCCATTTAAGTTGTAGTCACAGATTGGAACAATTTGTATTTTTGGACAAATACAAACCTAGTATTCATAATAACAAACACTTTATATTAGATTCGCAATTGACAAATGAACAAGAGGAATACTTTTCTTTCTTACTTCTTATAAAATAGAGCGCTTGTTATTAATTCTTAATTACAACAACTAATATAATTATTATTTACACTCAAAACCATCAAACATGTTTTTTTTCATAAAGAAGTTACAGTTCACCCTACCATCGTAAGTGAATGCTGTGGCTCATAGATACAGCGTCTACAATTTGATTCTTAATTTATAGACAATTAAGAATTAATGTGTAAATTCTTTTTATTGTTACTCATAAAGACTAAGATGGATCGCCTCAATACAATTTCGTTTGTCAAATGTAATTTTTTTTCACATCTACAACTTTTTCGAAATAAGGTTCCTGTGCCGGAGATGAAGCGACGAAAGAAACTCCGCTTGTATCCTCTTTTTGTCATTTTTTAAAGGTAAATATAATATAACATAGTGTAAATAGAATGGAAAACGATTATAGACACACTCAAAAAAGGACGATAAAAAAGTTTGTGCATAGCGAACCCGAGCAAACTAACGCCAATAGCACCTATTCACAAGTATGATGCATGTGGCAGCCATGGCCCTCCACGACCATATTAAAGGGAAGTGGATGATCTGTCCCACGACGTCGATGCAAGCAGAGACCTTAAGCAGCAGCGTGGCTCCACCATGTAAAGTGCTAAACATAATTCAATGATCCGATTGATGTCGAAAATGCGTATAAAAACGCTGGACTCATATTTTACAAACAGAGATCCAGACAGCTAACACATTTAAAAAAAAATAATGTTTCGTTCTGTAACCGGCAATGAATTTAATTGTTGATGAGTGTAATGTGAATTAAAAAAAATGGTGTACACATTGCTTGTTACAACACACCTGAAGGTAGGCGTCGAGGGCTGGAACACCGGCATCTCGATAGACTGCAGAGTGTTGCAGATACCGCACTCCTCGGCCGCCTGCTGGTAGAAGTCGTAGTTGGCTTGTCGCAGCGTGTACGGGTCCTCGCGGGAGCACTTGGTCCGCCCACAGTTGCACGCACTAATGTATCGTATGCCCGACGAATGCTCTTTACTGCTGTCACTGAGGGTAGTATTGAAAAAGCTAGTTAAGTAAATTATAAACGGACTTCGTTGATTATATTGTTTTTTTTTTATACATACATGTACAATGTATTGTAGGTGTGTTTAGATCGCTATAAATAATTGCTAGGCGGCTACCTTAATAGTAATCGAGTTGTTGAAATTAGAGGCGTGGCTTATGACCAAATATAACCCGCAAAAATCAACTTGGAACTCGCGAAAATTGTTTCCACTCCTGAAGCCTCGCGACACGTGCCGCTCACGCCCTCGTTGCCTCCATAAGCTCCGACTTTACCCATTTTCAAGTCAATGGCGTAGCAATGGGACGGGACGGGGGGGGGGGGGCATGGTCCTAAAAATACAGATTACAAAAATAATATAAAAAATCTTGTGCTGTCTCTATAACTTTAAGTCAAAGAGATCGTGACACCACGAGGCTTAACATCATCTTAGAATTGAGTAGTATTTGATGTCCAAAAGACTATATAAGACTTCCCGATTTTATTTTACTTTCAAGAAAATGCGCGAGTTAGGAGTGGTATTAACCGCGTAGCATGGGTCTGTGGCCTCAAGCGGCAGAAGCCCAAGCTGCGGCACGGTCTCAAGTTAATCTCTGCGTGTAGTATAAATAGCGGCGCGAGTCGTAAGCACAAAGGCGATAGCATTTGGGCATGTATATTTTTCATCCAGTATACTGCAGGCTAATGTTACGTGAATATCCAATGAATGACGAAGATTAACTAACGTGAAAGAATGTTCGCCATACCCACAATGCAATCTTGTTCCTCACCGAAGAGACATGTGAATCGACTGTTGCGCATATCTACACTGTGCTGGCGACTAGTGCCGCTATCAAAGACTTCTATGTACACTACTGGACCGGAATTATGGTATTAATATATTGCGCAAAGTTACGCTCAATTCTTCGTAACTTTTTTAGTCGACTGCGAGCGAACAAGCGGCTAGTTCTTTGTTTTTGAACCGCGAACGTTGTTTTCGACGATCTAACACTGTTTTTAAAATGGCATTATTTATGTGCACGCTTTTTCAACTAAAACATAATTATCGTGTAACTTTAATGATTGTAAATTGTCACGCTTGGTTTCTATCTGGTTCTTCTTGGGAATGAGGTATTTCTGAAGCAGTGGTAAATTAATTATAAGAGTGACTTTCTATAAGTATTATTTATAATGTTGAATAAAAGAGTTTCTATTTGTTTTTCTAATTTCTGTCGTAACTAAAAATACAAGTGCGGGAGGAGCGCCGAGCGATCTGGAGCATTGACATAGTTTATAAGTATTCGTGTATTATGGATGCCAGACACAATCCAGTTTACTGTCAAGTTTGCAGCGCGCTTGAAGCGGCATCAAGTTTGCTCTGCATCCATGTAGATCAGACCACTCACGTTCAAGTTCGCTGTCAAGTTTGCATGATGCCTCAGTTGAACCATGGCGTATCTCGCTTATTTTTTGCGACTACCGTCATGCATACTTGACCGCTCATACACACGTTCAAGTTTGCATGACGCTGCAAGCTTGATCAAATCGGCAGAATCGAAATACAATGTTTGTTTCAAGTAGAGTTGTCATGCACACTGATAGCCATACACCGTCAAGTTTACCGGAGGCCGGTTCAAGCGCGCTGCAAAGTTGACGGTAAAGTGGATCGTGTATGGCATCCATTAGGTGCAAGTGTGGGGTGTTACTGTTCGGGCTCGAGGCAGGGGTGCGCGCTGAGCGAGAGCGCCTCGCACAGGCGGCGCGGGCGCGCGGCGGCGGCGCAGGCGGCCAGCAGGCGCGCGCGCGCCGCGCCCAGCAGCGGCCCGCGCGCCATCGCCTCCAGCTCGCCTATCGCCACGTTCACCTGCATACGTATGCACTATGCACTGTCTTGTATATGGGTGCTTACATAAACAAACAGCTTTCCGGTACAGACAAATCTCTGCTGCTCGGTACCGATCGGTGCAGGTATAATATTTTTAATACAGTTGCTCAAAAAGTGGCGTATTGTAGGGACGTATAGCGTTCGGGATGTGAGCTATTACATACTCGTGCTTTTTCTTTACCTTTTCCGAACTCGTGCGTTTTCTTTCCCAACTGTCAAAATAATGACTATTAAAAAGAAAAAACCATCCACGAAATTTTTACTAAAAAAAATCATAAAAGTCTTTATGATTCATGCAAATATTTCTAAAAAGAAGCTACTAATTTGTTTCAATATCAGATTTAATGATTTGATTCCATAAGTTAGGTTAGGTTTCATTTCATTTCATCTCATTAAATTTAATTTTCATTTCATATCAATAAAAAAATTCTACTGAATACTTGGCTGTATGGGCATAGTTCCCTTTGCCTACCCAGAATGGGTGAAGAAAACAAAAAAATCTCTGCTTATATTCTTTTACGGTTGGCGCCATTTTCCAAAAATGTTCTTTATTAAATTGCTTCATTGCTTCTTATTAAATTTTTCGCAACTGAGTTAAAAATAGTTGTTCAGTACACGTGCGGAACCGTCATTGCAACTTGTTCCAACTGTCAACCCTCACCTTCGGCTGCGCCTCGGCTCGGGTAGACATTTGTCGGAACTCTTTGCAATGACAGGCTTTCCGCACTCGTAATGAAATATACTATTAAATGTTATCTTATGTGCTCACAGATTTAACAAGTTTAAACTTGTCGGTACCGAAGACCTGTACCGAGCCATACGGGTTTAAGCGTTTGCCGGTGTAGGGTGTGTGTGTTTATGAAAATTAATGTGCATAACAAAGTTTAAATAGTCTTGGTATTTGATATTTGAACATGCCAGTTACACCATCTCTTAATTAAGCGATGTTCTATTTTATTTAATATGTAGTTAAATGTTTCATGTGCCATTCTGATATAATCAAAAATCTTGTGTTCATCAAACTTTGTCTTTTATAGATAAATGATAATATAACCCATATTTTTTTCTTTTCCTGTTAATATTAGAGATATCAACTGTTCTTTTCTTTCTAAATTTAAAATAAGCACTTTCGAAAAGTAAAAAATCGTTGTCCGATGAACTGGAGGCCATGGTTGTCAATAAGCACATATGTTTATAAATTATACTTCCACACACTATATCCCCACCCAGTATATATGGCGCTGTTTAACTAGCGGCCTGAATGATATTCAGTCGATGCATCTAATACAACATTGCACCTATCTTGTAATATCACTGACAGTAGGTTAAGGTTCGGCTGGGGACAACCTAAAATATTGATATAAATGCACCTTAACCTACTGTCACTGAGGCTGCTAGTTGAACGGCTCCATTTAGTAACAAAAGCTAAGCTATTAATTGAACGGCTAATTAAACTAGTTGCTTGCGACATACATATGTGTAGATATCACAAGTTCCATAGGTACTTGTCTCGGGCACATATGGCGCGCGGTTTTATAAAGGGGAAAGCCCATGGTACAGTGAAAGGGACCGACTACACCATTTAATTATAAATGACGATCGGTCGAATACCCCCTGTTCCGCTAGATGCCGTAGCAAAAAATAAGGATTGTAGTATTTATAATTAAATGTTACAATCCTTATTTTAGACATATTTACAAAGAATATTTTTTTACGAGTAAAATTTTTTTGTAATAGCGCCAATTGCTTTGTAATAGCGCTATCTACTTCATTCTATAGGTAACGTCATTTTACGATCCAAATTAATTGAGCTCAAGGTGGTACGTAAAATAGACGCTGGATGGCCTGAGGTCTAACGTGTAATATGATATCGTGAATTGGATATGATAATTTTATTCAATTTGGTTAATATTATTTATATAATAAATTTATTTGTACTGTTTATTTTAACAGTTAAAATCATCTTCATAGCAACGCACTAAGTGAAAGTTTATTTTGTTGTGGTTTTTTTTGTTTTTTATAGGATAAGGGTGACAAACGAGCACACAGTCCACCTGATGGTAAGTTGTTGCTGCGGCCCATAGACATCTACATCTATCCTCTGTTACAAATAAAAATGTAGATGCGTTGTCACCCGTGAGGACTAAGATGGAATGCCTCATTTCCTGTAAAAAGGGCCTCCGACCACCTGCACTCACCAAGCGAAACGCAGAGGTAAACCTCTACTTCACGCTGGTTTTCTGTGAGATCGTGGTACCACCCCGGTTCGAGCCGGCCCATCCGTGCGACAGCAAAAGCTGCCGCGTGGCTCTACCACTGTGGTTTTTACTTTTCTTTCTTATTTAGTACTTGTGTATACTATTGAATGAATGTTTCCTTACTTTAGTCATTCTTTAATTTATACCTTATATGGAATGTGACCTTTTACAAAGCAACATTTTCTTACTAAATTATTATAGTAAACATTGATAGAATATTATTTGGCAGTGATATAATAATACTGCCAACGAAAGTGACAAACAAACTTACGGTACATCTAATAGATGGCTACTGAAGTCAAAGGACACCTGCAACCAATTTCTACACACTACTACAGACAGATGTATTGTCATCTCTGAGGACTATGATGGAATACCTCCTTCCTGTAATAAAACTGGCTCTATAACGTTCAGATTGGAAAACAGCAGTGAAGGCACAGCTATTTGGCAATAGGTCAGAGAGTGGTACCCAGACGGACGCATTATATAAACTAAGTTACACTAACCTTAATAGCATGTTGTCGGCTGGAGTAATATGGTGGTAAACCCTCTGCATAAGATGCTTGTGCAATGGGCAGAACCTAAAAATAGATTATGCAACGTTAATTTGTAGTACGAATTCTGGAATGAAGGTTAGTGAAGTATAGATTGTTGGAACGAAGTTCCTTATCGGACGGTACGGGTTTGGCGGATGGGAGCTAGGCGACAAAAAATGTAAGATTTTTCGTCACTACCCCTTGTGTTATAGTGTAGACGGCCTTGGCGGCGAAATAAGGAAGTGAGATGGAATAATATCCATCTCCCTCGCACTTTTTCTTATCTTGCCATGAAAGAAATATTATTTTATTTCAAATGACGCTTCATTTTAATAGACGCTAGTAATTCATTTATTTGTATTTGTTAATCATTAATATAATACCTACGTTTATCAATAATAATATACTACGCAAGGAACTTCGTTCCAACCGAGTGTTCCACAACACTCACGCATTTTTTTTTATTATAAAAGTAAAGACAACAAACGAGCACATAGTCCGCCCGATGGTTTGTGGCTACTGTGTAAGCGCATGTACATGTGCACTCTCTGTTCTCTCATAGTTCGATGGGACGGTATTCTGACACGACCGGAGAGAGATTGGGCGAAGGAACAAAGGCTTTATGTCCTTCCCTAGGCACGTGGGTGAAACACCTTTATATTTGTTTCACACACAACATTAAACATAAGTTTTTTTTAATTACGCCCTTACCCTTTACCCTAAATTACCCTTAACCAATGAGCATGTATATGGATGTGAAATAAGGGAGAGAGGTGTGTCAGGATCGTGCTAAATAGAAGTCTCTGGGTTATAGACGTGCGAGTTTGTTACGTTATAACCTTGAGATTTTTGTCTAATTTCGTCCTACGCTGCCGATAAGTTGTTCACTTTTATGTTAAGTGTTTAGACAGACATCCAAATAAAAGGCTTTTTTCTTCTTTTTTTCATAGGAGAGGGGGCAAATGAGTATACGGCTCACCTGATGGTGACTACCGCCGCCCATGAACAACTGCAACACCAGGGGAATTGCAGGTGAATTTTCAGCCTTTTAGAACGGAGTAAGCTCTTTTCTTGAAGGTCCCTAAGTCTCATCGGTCCGGAAAAATAGCCGATGGTAAACTATTACACAGAGAGGTCGTACGCCGAAGAAAACTCCTAGTGAAACGTACAGTGATGGACCGCCAAACATCCACATGGTGTGGATGATGTTGGGAGTTTTGCCGCGATGTGCGTTCGTGAAATTTGGCGGCTGGGATTAATCCGAACAACTCCTCAGAGCATTACCCGTGGTAAATGCGAAAGAAAATGCAAAGGGATGCAACATCTTTTCGCAGCGTTAGTGAATCGAGCCGATCGGAAAGGACTCGTTCGTCAACGATTCCGGTCAAGTAGAAGGCGCTGGCACTGGGGAGCCCCAGCACAGAAATGGGAACAGTATTCCATGGGAAGCCAAACTTGCGGCTTGTAAAGTTGCAAGCGATGTGCCGGCATGAAATACTCTCCCGATCTGCTGAGCAGGCCAAGCTTTTAAGAGGCCAATTAGGCCTTCCCTTCCAAGTGACCATGAAACTGCACGTCACTTGATGTTGTCGACGCCGAGGATTCCGATACTGGCTGAAGCAACAAGGAGAGTGCCTTGAAACTGAGATGATATGACAAAGGGGTTGTCTTTCGCGATAAACGCGCAAACTTGTGTCTTCTGAGGATCATACTGGACTAGATTTAGTCGCCCCTAATCCGAGACTTTGTTCAGCAAAGACTCGACTTCAGACACAAGTTTGTTCCGGTACTCGACGACGTTTTCCAAAGAAATATTGGCACGGCCAGTGTATAGAGAATCACCACTGCTGTCAGCCGCATAGCAATGAATGTTAGTGGTTTGCGTTTTGCGTTGGTGATAGGATAGCACGCAGCCTTGTGGAACACCAGCATTAAGAGGCTTGTAATCGGAGCATGCACCGTCTACTATGACCTTGATGCTCCGATCTGCAAGAAAGCTGATGATTCAATTGCACAATTTCTCGGGAAGCCTAGAAAGGGAGCTTCGCTTTGTCCTAAACCCGATCGAAGGCTTTTTTTATAGAATAGGGGGCAAACGAGCATGCGGCTGACCTGATGGTAAGTGACTACCGCCGCCCATGAACAACCGCAACACCAGGGGAATTGCAGATGCGTTGCCGGCCTTTTAGAAAGGTGTAAGCTCTTTTGTTGAAGGTTCCTAAGTCGTATCGGTCCGGAAAATTCGCTGGTGGAAATTGATTCCACAAGGAAGTTGTGCGAGGGAGAAAGAGTTTCGCAATGTCCAAACTAACGGCCAATGCCTCCTCTTTGCACTTTATTGCTTCCAACCATCTATGAGTCAGGTAGACCAGAAGATCACCAGCTGATCGACCCCGACGAAAACCGTATTGGCAGTCACTAATCAATCAGCTGGTGATCCTCAACGTACCACATGAGCTGGCAGTTTATAAAGAATCCATTATTTTAGAGAACAAGGAGGTGATGGCGATAGGCCTGTTGTTAGACGGGTCTGAGCGGTCGCCTTTTTTTAGGGATCGAGTGGACGAAAACCGTCTTCCATGATTTCGGGACTACGCCTAGGAAGTAGGAGTACCGGAAAAGACACGTTAGAACCGGTGCCAACTCTGGAGCACACGTGCTGAGCACAATTGGGGGAATTCCGTCAGGACCACTGGAATTGTGGAAGTCCAGGGAGAGGAGTAATTTGCGAACCGAGCACTGTGTGAACCGCTCATCCGGCATGGAGCACTCACACCGCGGAATGCTCGCCGGTGAGCCCACCCCGTCATTGAGAGTCGAGTTGGACGCAAAGAAAGAGCCTAGCAGACCAAATTTCTCCTTTGCGGCATGGGCCAGTGAGTCGTCCTTCCTGTGCAGAGATGGAAGAGATGGCTGACAGAAGTTCGGGCAGCCTTGGTAAGAGACCAGAAGGTTCCCGAAGGAAGGCGAACTAGTTTCTCGCCAATTCTGCCTGTTGTGCGATCACGATCACGATCTCTGCGGATGGGATCTGCTGTAGCAAGGAATCTGTAGCCAAAGAGCAACCAACCGCAGTTTTTATTTTTATTTTTAGTCGTTATTAGGTAGACACTGCTGTCCATCTTCTGATTTGTTGCCCTCTGTCGCCTTTTACGAATCCTATCTTTGGAGCAGGCCTATATTCAGCAGTGGACTTTAATAGGCTGTAACGGACTGAAGAAAGTTAACTTGGCTAACTCTGTTGAATTGTGTGTGTACGTGCACAGTGACGACGCATCACGCAGCAGTGTAAATGAAAGCCGCGGCGCACGAAACAAATATTCGACAAGTTTCAATTTGTCCGAAATGCGAGACACGTGCACGTGGCACAGTGCGCACATGTTCCGGTACAATGTGTAGGCGGATCCGCTCATCAATGCGCGTCTATCGATTTTAACTAGCGGATGGTGTATTCATTACTAGTAATACATCGCAACATAGCATAATATGTAAATAATTTCCTTCCGAAGGATTTATTTAATATATTTCTTATAGAATAAGGGTGAAAAACAAGCACACAGTCCACATCATGATAAGTGGATGATGTGGCCCATACACATCTACATTTATCCTCGATTAAGAATCAAAATACAGATGCTTTGTCACCTCTGAGGACTAAGATAAAATGCCTCGTTTCCAGTAAAAAAGGGTCTCCGGTTCTCTACACTCACCATATGAAATACAGCAGTGTTAAGCTGCTATTTTACGCTGGTATTCTCTGAGAGCGTGGTCCTTATCTGGTCGAGCCGACTCCTACGTGCTACAGCTGCAGCATAGCTGTAGCACGTAAAAAAACGACAACCACCGAAAAAGACAGTTTGTCTTAAGTCGCCACCACAACAGCCCATACATAACTGTGTCCATTTGAGTTCGAAGCATTTATGTGATAAGGTCAGAAGTAGTCATAAACCAAGCCAACCTATTCAAATCCGAAAATCAACAATATGTTACTTTACTTATGACTTAACAACAAGTTCATGGTGGTCATAATATAGCTGGATGCTAAACCATGTTTTGGTCTTACCTTAGCGCACCTCGCCTGCGAGAAGCGCACGTCAGTGGCCAATGTGTCAAACAGTGCTCCACTAGCTTCCTTTTCTTCACTGGGCTTTGAAGTCTGTAGGTATATAGGCGTGAGCGCTTGCGCTGCCTTTCGCCATGTTGCAGCACTCGGCAACTAGAAAAAGGATGTGATAACTAAAGGTTAGGTAAGGCGGGGGTTAGTCTACTCCTAATTCTCACATTTTTACATTATTAGTAGAACTAGATTAACACCTATTCTGCTCTCCTGTCCGGCGATCAGTTTGGCGTATAGCTCTGGGGGAGAGCGCAAGTCGTGTTGATCCACAGGGCAAGTCTGAGGAGTTCTTCCTTCACGTGGTTGCCGCCTGTTATTTGCTCTGGTTCAATAGGAAACAGACATAACAGAAACACTCAGACAATCCTCATTTTCTTTTCTTTTTATCCCACCCCCTTTTTTCTTATCTTAACCCCAAGGCATTAAGCGTACCGTGCCGAAGGATGCGTGGCGAGGGGGGTGGGAGCTCTGTCGAAAATGGTGCCTACCCGAGACTAGGACGATTCGGGTAGTATTTTAGCCCTAGCTACTCGTGGGACCAAAATGGACGAAGATCGACATTCTGAAAAAATTAACTCTCATTTAATGGAACTGGCTGTAGGTCTGGAAAAGGCTATTTTAGCCTGTACCAACACCCTGCAACCCGACGCCCCAACCTGGGATGAGCCGAGAAGTGGAGGGCACGTCTGCAGCCGAACGAGTCGGTAACGATCCAGGGAGGTGAAAAGAAAAAGTTCACTAGGCCTTATAAGCTTAGTGGGGCAGTACGGAAAAGGTACCGAAGGCTGACAGCAGCTGAGATAGGAGCCGAAGAGGCCCTCTCTCTCTCTGCCAGAAGCCCTGGAACGAAATTCCTCTGCCCAAACCTTCCTCAATTCCGAAGGCGAAAAAACGCAGTCGGTCTGAGGAGTCCCCCAAAGACCAGCCTAGGAAATCTGTGAAGCTGGCAACGGGAGAGAAGAAGCTCAGCTTCAGTGCCTTAGCTGGCTCTGCGCGTGTAGGAATTCGCAATTCAAATCCTATGAGCGTGGAGCAGATGCGGCTGGTCCACCGGGCACTAAAGCAGGCTATTGCTAAGACAGCCTGTTGAGTGCAGTCGGTAATGGGACCAAAATTTTCGGGTTTCACCCACAAGCCAGGTTGGATTCTGGTAAGATGGTGAGATGGGAAAACTGAAACCCTGGCCGTAAGCAGAGCTCTCGATAATACCCGAGAGCGAACTGCCTAAGCCTCAACCGGGCATTAACTTTCCATTACCCCGCAGCGAAGCTGACTCCCCAGAGGCGGTTGTGCTGTTGAGGGCACAAAATGAAGGGCTCCATACGGAGCTCTAGAAAATCCTCCACCGTAGGGACGAGGAGAATGGGTCCCTAGTAACCTTTTCTCTGGACGACCCATCGGCGGAGGCTCTCCGAGCGGCAGGCGGCAGAGTCGTACTTGGCTCTAAAATGATAAATTTAAGGTTAGGGGAGGCTCTGACGCGGCAATGGAGCCTGAATCACCCCAACTCCAATCCCCCCATCCCTTCACCTCTAGGGGTGAGACTGGAACGACATCAGCGAGAGTGACTGTGACTCAAGGCGCTGATCTCACCTTGGTCCAGGGCTTCCGCTGGTGTCGGCCAGGGGTAAGGGGAAGAGAGGTGGGCGCGGTAAACAAAAAGGTACGACGTCTTCGTCCTAAGCAGGTAAAAACAACCCCTGCCTCCCCCCCTCCACGCCTATAAATGGCTAACCCGAAAGGTAAAACGAGGATCCTCCAGGCAAATCTTCACTATGCAGCAACTGCTTCTGCCGTGGTGGAGATTTGCTTTGCAGAGGACAACATCGACCTCGCCCTCATACAAGAGCTTTGGGTGTCCAACGGTCAAGTTCTGTGATTGTCAGCTGCCGGTAAGATCTTAGTCAATACTAAAGGCAGTAGACCCACAGCTTGTATAATCTACAATAAAAATATTGAACTTATAATAATTACTTTGTATCTCATTATAAGTGAACCATTGTATGTTCTTATGAGAAATAAAATTCTTTAAACCGAACTTTTAGCTGTTGCAGTGTATTGCAATGACGATCTGGTTACAGCCTTTATAAATCTTAAGGGGCCAGAGTAATAATTTGCTCAGCCTATGTTCCCGGATAGAACCCAGATCCTGCCATCGAGTTAGAGCGAGTGGCGGAGTTCGCCCGTAAGCGCAACGCCGAACTTGTGGTGGGATGTAATGCTAATGCTCACCACATCCTTGTCTATTATTAAGGATAACTCAAAAAAGATTGGTCAGACCTTGATCAATTTATATGGGACCACATGAGAAGCACCAGTTTTCAAATAAAAAGAGAATCATCGAAATTGGTTCACGTAGAACAAAGTTATGAACACATAAAAAACATACAGTCGAATTGAGTACCTCCTCCTTTTTGAAGTCGGTAGAAAAAACGTTACATTTACACTAGGATTTTTTTTACTCTTTTTTTATTTGAAAGCTGTTGCTTCTCATGTGGTTCCGTATAAATTTGATCAAGGTCTGACCAATAGTTTTTGAGTTATTCTTAATAATTTATATTGAAGTTGGTTGTACAAACACTTTAATTTTTAAACTACAGTAGAACGCCGATTATCCGAACGCCGGTTAACCAAATCGCCAATTATCCGAATCGGTTCTAAGCGTAATATAAAAAATTAAAACCAAGTACTGTAACAGTAACAGTAAGTACATAATGTTATGGTTGAAAGCTAGAGGCTAGACACTAGTACACTGCTTATCTGCCGCGGCGCTTATGCGCTCTCTCTCTCTCTCTCTCTAGTGGACTACTTACGTATTATAGAACTGTGTTTGACTTAATTAAGTTTATTCTATGTGTGACAGTTCGTTTTTCTTTATTACCAGTCTATGTCCGATTAGCCGAATTTTCGAAAATCCGAATCGACCTCGGTCCCAATTAATTCGGATACTCGGCGTTCTACTGTATATTACTTTAAGCTCCAAAAGTCGAAGTAGGTACAATACTAATTTCTCACGTGGTAGAGCCATGCTCTCAAATGGTAGAGCCATTCTGCAGCTATATTAGTAGTATAGTTGTAGCACGAATGGGTCGGCTCGACCGGGGAAGGACCACGCTCTCATAGAATACCAGCGTAAAATAGCAGCTTAATGCCGCTATGTTTCGTATGGTGAGTGTAGAGAACCGAAAACCCTTTTTACTGGAAATGAGGCATTCCATCTTAGTCCTCATGGGTGTCAACGGATCTGCATTTTGATTTGTAATAGTGGATAGATGTAGATGTCTATGGGCCGCAGCGACCACTTACCATCAGGTGGACTGTGTGCTCGTTTGTCACCCTAATTCTATAAAAAAAAAATTTTGTGTAATAAGCAAAAATACACACCTCAAAGAAAGAAGTGCTCATAGCATACTTCCCGACATTGTCATCAAAGCCCTCTGTAAATGCCAAATCGATGTGTCCCTGCAAAAACTGTCGGAAGTTAGGCCTCTCGCTGGGAGGCTCGGGCTCTGCTCCTGTACACAACTGGACAAGCCCTCGGACTAGAAAACTGACGTCACGAGCGCAACCCGCCTCTTCCTCCGTATTTATGTAAACAAACTCTTCATTTTTGGGAATGGCAAAGACCGACTTGGCACTGGAAATGAAATAAGGTATTATTTTAAAAACACAAAAAAAATGTGCCTGATATTCATATAAAAAAACTATTTATTGTCAATTAAAAATGTACCCACTGTAATGAACCATTCGTAAGATGCTGAAATAGTATTTTGTTTATAAAAATTGTGTTTTCATATCACTTTACGGTGATAGAGCCACGCGGCAGTTTTTGCTGTTGCACGAATGGGCCGGCTCGAACCGGGTTGGTACCACGACCTCACAGAATACCGGCGTGAAGTAGAAGCTCTGCTTCTGCGTTTCGTCTGGTGAGTGCAGGTGGCCGGCGGCCCAATTCCCCCCCCCCCCCCATCAACATGGTAGCGGAATTATACGAGACTACCCCAGGAGGGTACGCCCACCCCTGGAGAATCCACCAACCAGCACTCCGAGTGTGGGTGCTCAGGCTGCCCGGCGTATTCTGGGGGGGGGGGGGGCAAATTCCGCTCAAAAACATAACTGCTCGGGGCAAACTGAGCAACAATACCAAGGTTCGGACCTGTCCAATCTTTGGCTACGCGTAGACAGCGACGACCATACGCGCGTCTACGGGTGCCTCTGTAGGTCCCATAGCGGTAATGCCGAAACAGGCCGACTGATCGACCACGTCCAAATGGCTTCAGATTCCTTGCTACAACAGGTCCCATCCACAGAGATCGTGATCCTTGGCGATTTTAACGCCCACCACGCCGAATGGCTCGGTTCACGTTTAACCGATCATGCGGGGAGATCTGTTTATGACTTTGCCTTGGCATATGGTCATATGATCATACACCTTTCCTGTTGGACCTTCTGCTGACCTCTCATCCGGACGGATATCAGGTTTCCGTCGATGCCCATTTCGGCTCTTCGGACCATTGTCTGATCCGGAGTGTGGTGCCACTCACGCTCCCCTTGCGGTTGCGTTCTGCAGGTTGCCGCCGTGTTTGGCATTACAGGTCGGCGGATTGGGACGGAATGCGGTCTTTCTTTGCCTTTTTTATCTTACCCATGGGGGCGGGTTTGCTTCTCGCCGGATGATCCCAGCGCTGTTGCTGACTCTGTCACTGATGTGGTGCTACAGGGAATGGAACTATTTATTCAATCATCTGTGGTGCCCATCGGATGCAGATCTCAGCTTGGTTTGGTCGCTCCTGTAAGACTGCATTACGCAGTAACCAGGAGTGTTATCAAGCCTGGGCTGCGGCTTCGACGACTCGGGATGTAAGCACCAGCACACTTAAAAAGAAGTATAACTTCGCCTCCAGGTCCTTCAAAGGAGTTATTGCCAAGGCAAAGTCAGAGCACATAGGCAGAATTGGCGAGAAACTAGTTCGCCTTCCTTCGGGAACCCGTGCATTCTAGTCTCTCTCGCCAAGGCTGTCCAAGGGAATTTCTGTAAGCCATCACTACCATCTCTGCACAGGGAGGATGACTCACTGGCCCATGCCGCAAAAGACAAAGCCGACCTTTTAGGCTCCCTTTTTGTGTCCAACTCGACTCTAGATAACGGGGGAAAACACCGCCGACCATGCCGCTGTGTGAGTGCTCCATGCCGGATGTGCTGTTCTCACAGCGCTTGGTTCGCAAAGCACTCCTCTTCCTGGACATCCAGAAGTCGAGTGGACCTGACGGAATCCCCCCAAATTGTGCTGAGGACGTGTGCTCCGGAGTTGGTACCGGTCCTAACGCGTCGGTTTTCGTCGGGGTCGATCAGCTGGTGATCTTCTGGTCTACCTGACCCATAGATGGGTGGAGGCAGTAGAGTCCAAAGGGGAGGCGTTGGCCGTTAGTTTGGACATTGCGAAGGCCTTTGATCGGGTTTGGCACAAAGCGCTTCTTTCGAAGCTCCCTTCCTATGGGCTCCCTGAGAAATTGTGCGATTGGATCACCAGCTTCCTTGCAGATCGGAGCATCAAGGTCGTTGTAGACGGTGCATGCTCCGACTACAAGCCTATTAACGCTGGTGTTCCACAAGGCTGTGTGCTATCACCAACGCTGTTTCTTCTCCATATCAATTATATGATGCTAACTGGTAACATTCATTGCTATGTGGATGACAGCACTGGTGATGCTCTATACACTGGCCGTGCCAATATTTCTTTGGAAAACGTCGTCGAGTACCGCAACAAACTTATGTCTGAAGTCGAGTCTTTGCTGAACAAAGTCTCGGATTAGGGGCGACTAAATCTAGTCCAGTATGATCCTCAGAAGACACAAGTTTGCGCGTTTACCGCTAAAAAGAACCCCTTTGTCGTATCTCCTGAGTTTCAATGCACTCCCTTTCTTGCCTCAGCCAGCATCGGAATCCTCGGAGTCGACATATCGAGTGGCGTGCAGTTTCGTGGTCACTTGGAGGAGAAGGCCAAATTGGCCTCTAAAAAGCTAGGCGTACTCAGCAGAGCGGGACAGTATTTCACGCCGGCACACCGCCTGCAACTTTACAAGGCGCAGGTTCGGCCTCACATGGAATACTGTTCCCATCTCTGGGGAGGGGCTCCCCAGTGCCACCTCCTTCCACTTGACCGCATCCAGCGCAGAGCGGCTCGAATCGTCGACGACCGAGTCCTTTCCGATCGGCTCGATTCATTGGCACTGCGAAGAGATGTTGCATCCCTTTGCATTTTCTTTCGCATCTACCACGGGGAGTGCTCTGAGGAATTGTTCGGATTAATCCCAGCCGCCAAATTTCACGAACGCACATGGCGGCAGAACTCCCGATACCATCCACACCATCTGGATGATTGGCGGTCCACCACTGTGCGATTTAGAAGGTGTTTTCTTCCTAGCTAGGGCACGACTTCCTTGTGGAATCGATTACCATCAGCGATTTTTCCGGATCGATACGACTTAGGGACCTTAAAGAAAAGAGTCTACTTTCTGGTTCCCCTGGTGTTGCGGTTGTTCATGGGCGGCGGTAGTCACTTACCATCAGGTGAGCCGCATGCTCGTTTGCCCCCTCTCCTATAAAAAAAAAACTGTCTTATGTTCCTGTACAATATGAGTAAAATATTTTTTTATATTTTCGTAATGGAAAACAAAACATTTTTATTGCATAGATATATAAACATTAAAAGAAAAGGGAATGAAAGTGAACGCAAGTAAGACGAAAGTTATGGTTTTTGAAAAAGAAGAAAGTAAAACGATATGTGAAATAAGAATAGAAGGGGAGTTGGTAGAGCAAGTAGATGAGTTTGTACATTTGGGATGTGTGTTTAGCAGGGATGATAGATATGATAAGGATATAGAACGACGAGTGAATGCAGTAAATAGAGTGAATGGGGCTCAACACTCTATTGTGAAAAGTCAGAATATGTCCAAAAAGGCACATATGGCAATTCACAATGCTGTGTTAGTACCTACTTTAATGTATGGTAGTGAAAGTTGGGTGTGGCAGAAGAAGCATGAGAGTAGAATAAATGCTGTAGAAATGCGGTCATTAAGGAGTATGTTAGGGATGAAGCTGAATGACAGAGTGAGAAATTGTTTAATAAGAGAAGAGTGTGGTTTGCAAGATGATGTTGTGACCAGGATTAAGAAAGGAATACTTCGGTGGTTTGGCCATGTAGAAAGAATGAATGAGGAAAGAGTGACAAAGCAAATTTATGTTGCAGAAGTGAACGGCATAGTCGGGAAGGGTCGCCCTAAGCGAAAGTTTATTGACCAAATTGGCGATATATTAAAATGGGCCAAATCAAGAGTACCTTTAACCGACGAGCGTGTATGCGTAGGTATATGGATGTGGAGGAAGCGAGAGAGGTGTGTGAGGATCGTGCCAAATGGAAGTCCATAATCTCTGCCTACCCCTCTGGGTGACAGGCGTGAGTGTTTATGTATGTATGTATAAACATCTCGTTATTTATGTAGCCATTTATTTTTTCATAAATAATGAAATTCCAAATTTAACTGTATTTGATTTTTTCTTTGCTGCAGTATTTTAGTTATTAATCACAATAAGATAATAAAAATATTTCAAAATAAGATTTAATTTTTTATATACAAATAAAATTAAAGAAGTTATTGCTGCAGGGTGAGAAATCTTTAGCTGAAATAGTCACCATCAGGTATACTATGAGCTTGTCTGTTACTTACATATTATAAAAAAGTAAAATTGTTACATAATATTTATATCACATTTGTGTTCAACAAAACGTGAAAAGTAGTAAATATGGTAGAGCCAAGCTGCAATAATGATATGCTGGCTTAGATTAGGTCTGCTCGCCTTAGGTAGGACCACACTTGCACAGAATCTATACCAGAGTAAAATAGCTAATAAGCTGATGTGTATAATTAAGCAACACGAATCTGAGACTTCTTTTACTAGTAATGAGATATCTTAGTCCTTAGGGATGTCAATGCTCTGACACATCCTTAGAGATGAAAAATCTGTATTTTGTTTCTATGGGCCACAACCCACTCCTATCCACCTAACTCACTTGACTGCCTTAGCACAACTACTAATAATTTTGTCCTGATTTTGAATCCCGAGTCGCGGTAAAATCAGTTATAGGCTTTTTCTGTCAAGAAATTTGCAGTATAGACCCAAAGTCAGGAAGTTGGCTATGGTTGACCCCATGCCTCTAAAAGCGCGTAAAGCCATTGGTCCTGTGTCTTATCTCTCCCTGGACGTGTCGGATTGCCGTTCCATCGGATTATAAGAGTGAGGGAATAGAGAGTGCACCTGTGTTTGCGAACACACTCATGCACTATAATTCTGTCGTCCATGGAAATTAAATTTGCCAAACAGTTACTTTGCGTACATCCGCTAGAAAAATAAAATGATGTGTCTTACCTAGTTTGAAGAGCACCTCCCACCCTCCCTAAATTGCATGCACTATCCCCGTCACCACTAATCCCAGCACCACTACTCCCAACACCACTACACTAGGTAAGACACACCACTGACGACAATGCGACATGTGTTTCGCCTCTACACGAGGCATCCTCAGGTGATATAGACTCTACGGTGGCTAACCGCTATGCTTAGCAAAGTAATTGTTTGGCAAATTTAATATAATGGACTTCCGCAAAGTAAAGCCTGATTCTATTAATTGTCCATGGAAATGTCTATGCTATGTCTGGATGCCGTCATCAACATCTCAGAATTTTGAAGGACGTAGAAGCACATCATCCAACTATCAGGTGGACTGTGTGCCCATTTGTTACTCATACTCCCATTGAAAAAACATTTTGAGAATGAACGTCACGATTTTTTAAGAAATAAAAACAAATTAACTAACCAAACATTAGTAATAATCCTGGTCTTTCTTAGCATAAAATACAACTGGTCTTCAACAGCATGTTCGAGTCGTTTCAATGCCGCAGGAGCCTTGCGTAGAGGTGTTGGTGCCCTACGGAAGTGGAAAAGCAAGCGCGGGCAACACGGTCTGCCATGGGTCTCCCAGTTGCCGCCAACATTGGCTTCTATTAAGGCAGCTTTAGTTTGAGCTGATAATTCATTTCTGTAAAAAAAATATCACATACAATTTATAATTAATACATACTACACATATAAATAACGTTAAAGTGTCTGTCTGTAATATCAAAATAACTGCCTTCTATTAACTTCAGGAGGTTGTTTTTATCTACATTTATTACCTTTATTATTTGCATAAGATTTTTTAATTTTTTGTTTGTCTGTCTGTCCTAGCTAATCCTCAGAATAGCTAAGCATACTGCATACATCTGATGGCTCCGTGGCTTAGCAATGAGTTCCAGCGCTTGGGGCTGCGGGTTCGAATCCCGCATGGAACAAGTATTTGTATGGCCTACAAATAATTGTTCCGGGTCTGGATGTTTGTCCTTGTGCAATTTATGTTTGTAAACTGCCTCCATGATACAGGTGAAAATCCTAGTGTGGGGGTAACGTTTTTTAAAAAAAATTAAAAATAAATACTGTGATAAAATTTATAGTGATTGAACATCAAATTACCTGTAGCCATCAATAGCTTCAAAAATCTGTAGGTACCCCAGATCAAACACAGGTGTTGGCAGAGAGAGCACAACAATATGACATAAATGGAACATTAATGCCATCAATCTGCACGACTCTATTGCTAGCTCTCCAGCTGCCACCAACCAATGTGCTGCATCAGCATCCTTCACTGAGCTCTTTGAATTCTCATCTAGGTCAGCTGCTAGTAATGTCAGTTGTCTAGTATCCAGATATGTGATGGCGTGCAGATATAAAATACTCCTTCGTTCATCCCAGTGACATTCAATACCATTCTGTAATATTGGTGTTAAAATAAAAAAACTTTATTTGCAATCCATAATTTTCATCATTTATAGAGTTGTGATGATGATGTCACTGCTGTAATTTAAACTACAAAGAGAGGAAGAGAAACAGTGAGATAGGAATGCTCAATTTGGTGTTAAAGTTGACAATAAATTACTTTGCATACATCCGCTTGATAAAATAAAATGATGTGTCTTACCTAGTTTGAAGAGCACCTACCGCCACGATAGTGCACGCAATTAAGGGTGGGCGACTTTAATATACGAGGGCGGCACTGAAAATTTCGGGAATCAAGGAAGTGACACAACATTACTATTTAAAAATGTATTTATTGCTTTTAGAAGTATTCTCCGCGAAATTTGACACATTTTTCCATACGATGGAACCAATCTTTGAAGCAACCATTCCATTCGGAAGTTGGGGTCTCCAAAATGGCCGTTTTGTAGGCGTCCACAGCTTCTTCAGGTGATGAAAATCTCTGTCCACGCAATTTATTCTTTATTTTAGGGAAAGTATAGAAATCATTAGGGCTTAGGTCGGGGCTGTACAGCGGATGGTCTAATAATTCTATGTTTTCTTGCTCTAAAAATTTTTTTGTTCTGTGTGCGGTGTGAGAACTCGCATTGTTTTTGCTCTTCACAGAGCGAATGCGGTATCCATCGGGAAAGCAACTTTTTTACACCTAATTGTTCATGCAAGATTATTTGTATTTGACTCATGCCAATGTCTAAAGATGCCTGAATTTCACAGTATGTCACATGTCGATCTTCCTCAATCAGCTTACGCACAGCATCAACGTTTTCTTGGGTGACTGCAGTTTTTGGACGACCTTGACGGGGATCATCACTGAGCTTCACACATCCACATTGAAATTCAGCAAACCAGCGATAAATTGTGGTTTTGGATGGGGCTTCATCACCAAATGCAGAAATCAACCGGTCAACACACTGTTTTTGTGTTAAACCACTTCGAAAGTCATAATAAATCATCGCTCTTGAATTTTCTCGAGTCAATTCCATTTTCTCAACGACTAAACAAGTTTGACAAAACCTTGTGACAAGACCGAGAATCTTATTTAAATAAATAAATGGTATTCGATTTTTAAAACCAAGGAGTTTTCAATTAACAAGATTTTAATATGACAGGAACAGTGGAAATATTCCATTCCCAATACTTTTAGTGCAGCCTATGTAATGGACTTCCGCAAAGTAACGCCTGATTTTATTAACTATCAATTTGATGTGTTTTTAGCTGTTATCTAAATAAATAAACAGTAAAAATGACAAGCTATAATGAACTTACAATATCCATCAATTACAACCTATGAAATTCCACTGATTAACATAGGCCATATATGTGGTAGACCCACACTTCACCTATATTATGGTTGTAGTAGAAATGAGCTAGCTTGACAGGTTTAGGACCACATTCTCACTGAATACCAGTATAAAAATAGCATGTTAATACTACTGTGTTTCTTATGGTAATTGTAGATAGCCGATGACCATTTCTACTGGAAACAAGACATTCCATGTTAGTCCTCAAGGGTGACAATGCAGCTACATTTTGATTTTTAAATGAGGATAGAAGTGCATGTCTGGCTATTGTCACCCTTATTCTATTCAAAATAAAAAATAGGTCTCCCCCATAGATTACTTCAAAGGGGAAATTTTACCATAGTTGCCACACTTGGTAGACAGATGGCAACTGCCGATTTTAGTTAGTTATTATGAAAATCATTCTGCTGCCCATCTCCTGTTTCGGTTTCTCCTGTCACCTCTTATGACAACCACGGCATGATATAGAGCAGTGGTTATTCTTACACTGCTACTATACGGTTATGAACTTATTGTTCATGAACATATTGTTTGATAATACTTACTTCTTCACATTTCGTACTTGGTAAAAGTGGGGTAGTTTTATTAGGATAACGATATGGTGATTTTCCTATAACACCAATTACTACAATTCGTTCTTTTTTTGAGAAATCTGGAATATCTTTTATCGTGAAAACATTCATTTTCTTATAAAACTTTAATAGTTCAGTTTAACTACACAAAAATTAAAGATAATTATTGATAACCTGTTGCATTTTTATTACATACAAAGAGCTATTCTGTTACGTTTTTAGTAATATGAATATGGTATGATTATGATAAGTAAACAATAAATATTTTTATTTTTTTAAATGTATGAATAAGAAATAAGATAAGAAATTTTTATTAGGGATGTTCGATGACAAAACATCGATGTCACCACATGTCAAACATTGAAACATCTTGGAAACATCGATGTCAAAAATCTCATAATCGATTATTGGGAACTTGCGAACCCGCGAAATCAATATCAAATAAATCTTGTATCTCCTCTAAAAGATTTAAAATTTTGAATAATTCAGAATTCCTGAACGCATCAATAACCTAAAAATGTCATTAGGATATATCAAACTTAACTGTCAAGTGTCAACTTTAATGTCACTGTTGTAACTGCTTTCGCTTTGATATTCTGTGGTAGCGTTGTTGGTTATCTGTTTCTTTGTCGGTTGTTTTGAAACAACCCAACGGTTGATCTTAAATCAGATTCAATACAGGTTTATAACAATGTTAATGGTTCTATTTATCTAGAATTAAAAAAAAACTTGCGGCGAAATATTTGACCACTATAGCTACATAAATGCCATCTGAGCGGTTATTTTCAAAAGCTGGCTTAACTTTTTATCAACAGAGAAACAGATTGAAAGGTACTTCTTCGTCAAAATTACATAATAAATGGGCAAAACATGAAACAACAAAAATAGTTACAAAATGTACTCATGTGTGTTTGTGGTTTTGTTTTTTTTTCGTCGTTTAACCATCAGTAATATTAAATTTTGAGGCTTATAGGTTATTAAATTTAATGAAAATGATGCCGATATATCGATGCTATTTAAAAATATTGAATCGATATTTGTCGATAACAAAATTCCTTGCCCATCCCTACAATTAAGACAGGCATAGGTCTTAAACCATACAGCCTAGTCTAGCGTGCGTCTTATTTACAAAACTCATTACAATAATAATATGATAATATAATATATTATCATATTACATAAAATAATATGCTATTGTGACATATTACAAAGTTTTTGGGAGATTTCGGCGACAGCTTACTCCACGGTCAGCTGATGATATACCATCATCACTATATAGTCAGGCGATGCTGCCGTCAAAATAATAACTAAAGCAGTATAAGAATTTTAGGTAATTACTATCCAAAACTTTATCAAAGCGATGTAACAACGCATAGATCTCAACCAGAAATGTTGTTGTTGTGTAGGCAAAGATAAGATAAAATTTTGTGTGTTTGACATCATTGACTTTGACAACTGACATAACAATAATGTCTATTGGTGTATTGTGTACATTAGTGTTAGGGATGATCGATGTTGTAGAAACATCGATGATGACATCGACAGCTCAACGTCGATGTTCGATGTTTATTTACTCAAACCATCAAAGTTCGCCATTATCGATGTTTTTTGGACATGTATTTAATAGAGTAAAATTGTCATGTTGTTTATGGTTTTTATTGAATGAAATAAAAGATATTCATAAACGTTGTAGTCTAAAACAGTAATTCAAAAAAATTGGAAGAAGTTCACAAATATCTAGTTCATTTGTTATATAGCTTAATATTTTTGCCAATTGATTGAAGAAATAGTAATTTTGACATAAACCTTTCAATCTGTTTCTCTGTTGATAAAAAGTTGAGCCAGCTATTTAAAATATTTTAATTTTTTTTATAGGATAAAGTGACAATCGAGCACAGTCCACCTGATGGTAAGTGATTGCTGTGGCCCATAGACATCTATATTTATCCTCGTTTGCGAATCAAAATGCAGATGCGTTGTCACCCGTGAGGACTAAGATGGAATGCTTCTTTTCCTGTAAAAAGGGTCTCCAGTTCTCTACACTCACCATACGAAACAGAAGTGTTAAGCTGCTATTTTACGCTGGTTTTCTGTGAGAGCGTGATCCTTCCCCGGTCGAGCCGACCCATTCGTTTTACAACTTTACTACTAATATAGCTGCAGCATGGCTCTATCACGTATATAAAAATTTTGTACAACTGACTTCTATATAAATTATTAAGGATAACTCAAAAACTATTGGTCAGAATTATATGGGTCAAATTTATATGGGACCACATGACCAAGCACCAGCTTTAAAATAAAAAAAACATCATCGAAATCGGTTCACCCAGAAAAAGTTATAAAGTTACACACATTAAAGAGAACCTACAGTTTTCTTTACTTTTGGTAACACAATTGCAGGCTCAACGCCTCTTTCTACTTTGAATTATAAAATATGTGTCTGTTATATTAAAATAAATATACAAAGTATTATAAAGTGCCAAAAAACTTGTTTTTATTATAATACATTATTTTGCAACAAGTACATATTCAACATATTAGTGGTCCTTTTTGAAGTCGGTAGATAACCGCTAAGATGGCATTGATGTAGCGATTGTGGTCAAATATCTCACCGCAAGTTTTTTTTTATTTTAGGTAGAACCAATAACATTGTTCTAAACGTGCATTCAATCGTGTTCAAGATCAAACATTAGATTTTTTAAACAACCGACAAAGAAACAGACAACCAATAACGATACCAATAACAAAACGAAATCAGTGACAACTGCGACATTACAATTGACAGTTGGTAGTTAAATTTGATATATTATAATGATAAATTTTTAGGTTATCGATGCGTTCAAGCATTCTGAATTATTCAAAATTTTAAATATTTCAGAGGAGATGCAAGACTTAGTTGTTATTGATTTCGCGGGTTCGCAGTGTTTGCAAGTACCCAATAAACGTTTATGGGTTTATTGACATCGATGTTTCGATGTTTGACATGTGGCAGCATCAATGTTAAAACATCGATGTTTTCATTTTTGACAGCGACGATAATCGATCATCCCTAATTAGTGTCATAATCATGTCTTGCTGGAGAAGCGCGGGCACCTTGAAACGTGATAGCCGCCTTTTTTTAAACTAAAATTTTAATTTTGTTTTGTTTAGTTAAAAGGCACTAAACTTTTATTGTTTTATTGTTACTGGGTTTCCTCATCATGGGGAAACGTAGAAAAAAAAGTTGCCGGGAGAAGAAGAAGTATTTGAAGAAACGACTGAGGAGGAAGAAATTGATACCAGTACTGAGGAAGATCCTGAGAAAGAGCAGCGCAGGTATAAGCCATACTTTGTATCTGACTACAACAGGAGGTACCCTAAGGACTGTGTCCTCGTTGATTTTGTTGTCTTTGTCGAATCAAATGATGAAAGAAGGCCAATCGGCACGCGGGACATGATGTCTCTGTCCACACATATGAAGAGGTTCAATAAAGGCATTAAATATTTGCAATCTATGAATAAATACAAAATAGGCGTTCATTTTAAAAGCCCTCTTTAGCGAATGCATTTTTAAATAATATAATATTTCTTAATGAATACAAAATGAAGGCATCTATCCCAGCTGTAGGGACAGAAATAACAGGAGTCATAACTAATGTTCCCACTAATCATTCTAATTCAAGAATTTTTGGTATGTAAACGACTTACAGGTAGATAATATGTGTTAAAAGGATAATGAGGAAACATAAGAATGACGCAGGACGCAGTTTGCTGCAGCTGACGGGCACCGTGGCCATCACGTTCGCTTCTAATGTTTTGCCGGACCACGTCGATCTTCATGGTTGGCGGTTCGTGGTAAATCAATATATTCCACCAGTGAAGCAGTACTACAACTGTCTGAGGTATGGCCATTTAGCAAAGTACTGTAAAAATTCTGTGAAATGCTCAATTTGTACTGAGAATCACAGCTACAAATATTGCTAAGTCTCTTCAGATAAAGCGATATGCATACATTGCAAAGGAAACCATCTTAGCATTTCTGGACAGTGTCCTGTTAAGAAACAAAAGATAAAAGAAAATCAGGCTAAATTACACAAAACCCCGTTTGTAGACCTTTTTAATAAAAACGAATTCCCCGAATTAAACAAAAAAATCCTAAAGATGCTCTTAGGTTACTGCTAAAGAATGATGACATTATTAATATAATTTTAAATACAGTCATTAAAATATTAACTCTTAATAGATCAAATGAACAAACCACCATATCTTCTCAGCTTATTAAAGATGTTCTCATAGATACAATGAAACCAAAATAGTTATTTCATTATTTAACATTTAATATTTTATGGATCAGTTTAACATTTTACGATGGAATGCACAGAGTTTAATTAAAAATCGCTTTCAATTTACACAATTTTTATATGAGAACACCATAGATGTTGCTCTCATATGTGAAACTTGGCTTAAACCTAGGCACAATTTTAGAGTAAAAGGTTATAATATTATACGATTAGATTCAGGTAATGATCATAATGGAGTAGCAATACTTCTACATAACAAAATTGGATTTCGTGTTATCAATACATTTTCTGATGACTCGTTACAAAATATACCTGTACAAATCAATACAATGATAAATTATTGACTTTAGTTAGTGTTTACTGTAATTCATCAATTAATTACAATAAATCCAAATTAGATAATTTAATCCAAAGTTTGCCACAGCCAGTCTTTATAGCTGGTGATTTCAACGCCCATCACACGTTATGGGGATGTACTGAATTAGATTCACGAGGTAGGGACGTTCTTGCAAGTATAGATGAAAACAATCTTGTAATCTTGAATGATGGTCAGATGACTACAGTAGGATCTCATAGATGGAGGCAGAATGCATTACACTTGACACTAGTTTCATCTTCACTGGCTCTGTCTTGTGAGTGGCAAGTATGTGATGATGATTCTCTAGGCAGCTATCATTTTCCTGTAAAGACAAAAATTACGGTCAATAGTCAAAATTTTCAAGAAACAGCTTTATCAAATAACATAAACTTAAAATTGGTAGATTGGTCACAATATCCAAATTTAATAGATAATTTAATTAAAAATTATAGTTTTGATTTTAGTAATCC